ACGAGCTGACGCGCTCGGGGGACTTTGCTTATCTATTCTTCTCATTCTTCTCTTTCTTCTTTCTTCATCTTCTTCATATTCTTTCCTCGTCCAGTTCTGTCGTTTGGCTTTTATGTCTTGCACATTGCTGACTGTTACAGGAGATCTGTTTCTCTACTCCGTGAAAAAGGGATACTCCCCGTGGTGGGCGGACAGGAGGTCACCATTTGTAAAATGGACAGGGACGACGTGGATGGCCAAATGCATTCATTGCCCAAAGAAGGAAACGAGTTTACTGCCAGACAGCCAAACACAGCTGTCAGAGTTCCTCCGTTTCAGGATGCAATGAGGTCTGAAAAAACAAAAAAAAGGAAAGGCACTGCCGTTGAGAAATGTACCCTACCCTCGGCAGGGTAGTTTTCTCAATGCAAAATGGCTTCCCGCCCAAACCAAAAGGGCCAACGCATACTACAAAACGGATTTCACGTAAAAAAAAAATTCTACAAAATGACTAAATCTAATAGGTTATTCTCCTGTATTTTGGTACCGTTAGATTCGCAATACATCAACGGCAGAACTCCGTCCCACCATGCCACACGTGATAGAAAGCTCAGCGTTGAGAAAACTCAATGCTGTAGGTGGGACCAGACCCCAGGCAGTGGAGCCCGTCCGCTGTGAAAAGGAACCCAAAAAACGACAAAACGGAGATCGAACAAAAGAAAATTTCTAAGAAAAACTTATCGATCCTAAAAACAGAAATTGCACCCAAGAGCCTAGCTCAGTGGGTACACCCATGAACTGTTGAAATACAGACCCGTGTTCGAATCCGATGATGGAACTTGAAGAGTAAAACCAACTACTAATGAATTGCTTGGGGCCGGTCAGCTCGATGATAATATCTCAAGGCGTCGCCCTTTTCAAAAAAAAAAAACAGAAATTACTAACCCTAACAGAAACGAGAAAACAACCGTAATCAACAAAATCCCGAAAATACGTATTCTGTCTACTGCCTAAGACGGCAGAGAAGCACCACGAGAAGCAATTCCAACAGAAAAAACCTAAAAACCCTTCGTAATTCCAACAGAAGTCCGAAAAAAAACTAGCCTCAGGGGCCTGGACCCATTAGGCAAGAAGTATTCTACTACTTTGTTGAGGATTTCTATCAAGTGTGGCCTCGAGTGACACAGTACGGCCGTCGAGTGACACAGTACGGCAATAGATCCGATCTTGACGGCCTGGTAGTTTCTGAGCGGGGACTGTAAAGATGCCCACCTCCCATCCAATGAGATGCGTCCAAAAAAAAAACAAAAAACAACGTTGGACTAACTTGAAATGTGAAATTCAGATATCGTGGTGGATCTGACAGGAATGCTTCTGCGTCTGTTGGATGGCCTGTTACAGGCATCATGAGATACATGGGGATGAATGTATCCCTATAGCCATTACTAGTTCATCCCCGTGGCTGTGTTCGTGGACACATTTTATTGCCACGGTACATGACTATGAAGACTTACGTGAAGGAGATAGTACCAACCCATGAATTCGGGTGCACAGCTGTTCTTTATACTTTTATGTGCTATTTCAATTCATTTTAAATCAGAAAACGAACCATTCATGCAAATAAAAATTCACTTTGTATTTTCCAAAAAACCATAAAATTGCGTCACACATGGTAGAATACTTCGCTAGTGGGGGTCCAGGCCCCAGGGTCACATAGAAATGCTTCACCAAATGTAGAATAAAAATTAAAATTTAAAAATACTATTTTTTTTTATTATTAATTTTTTTTTTGGCCTGGCCTGGCAAGTAACCCCGGGCCACTCTGGTAGTCTAGTATATCTATATATCTATCTATCTATCTATCTATCTACCTATCTATCTATATTATTTATTTATTTGTTTTTTTATTTATTTTTATTTTTTTGGTACCTTCCCTCCGTGTTTCGGTTATTTTTATTCACAGTTCACATATCATACAAGGCGGAGAACGGGTCCCATCAACCAGGGCACTCGGTTGCAGTAGGGCAGAGGGAGGCCTCTAGGAGAGTGTCAGTAGGAATCGGATCGGACGAGGTCCTCTGGGCCGAGTTAGTCCCGGAAGTAGGGTAGGATAGTCTGTTCTGAGCTTCGGTGGAAAAGTGCTCCTTAGAGTGAGCGGGTAGTGTCAGTTCGGTGACACAGCTGTAAAGCCTGTAAAGAAAAGCAAACCTACACTGGAAGACATACTGAGTGAGGAAAACAGCATACTGTGGAATGAGACTCATGAGAGTAACAAGGTATATACTAGAGACAGGATCAGTTAGGATTTTGTTAGTGGCCACTATTGGAAGTTATAGAACACGCAGCTTAGTCAGCTATGCATATGGGAGCAGATAACATACGCTAACCCCGGGTGGAAATGTGAGTTTCGCGGCCTCAATTGGATTCTTTCTTTCTTTTGGAAGATAACAGTGCTATTATAGCAAAAAAAAAAAAAAAAAAAAAAAAAAAAAAAAAAAAAAAAACGGGTCCCCAGTCCCTTAGAAAAAAGGGTACGGTGGAGGATGTCCGGCTTATGCTGGGATGGGTCGTGCCATCCTCCTGTAACCTCAGCTGTTGGTGAGCTAGATGTGCAGATTTATTATTATTATTATTATTTTTTTTTTTTTTTTTTTTTAAGCTGCTGTGGAAAAGCACCCTGCCCGTGTGGTATTGTGTGTGGTGTGTGGTGTGTGGTGTGTGTTGAGATGGACACTAGCAGCCCCCCCTTGCAGGGAT